AAAATATTAGATGGTATAGTTTACGAAGAAAATTTTAAAACTCCACCCTATAGAGATTATATTTTAATTTTGAGAGATCTAAGAAATAAATATAAACGAGAAGGTAATATCGTAGGTAGTAATTGCATGAAATTATTAGGCAATTCATTGTATGGTAAATCTATTCAGAAGGATATAACTACATCGAGACATTTATGGAGTGAAGCGACTTTAAAAGCCAACTTCGATTCACACGTTATAAACTATGAAAAAGTAAATGATAGTCAATATATAGTTGAGATAAATTTGAGAAGAATTTGACTGTACACCTAAATCTACACGACTAACACCTAGTCATTTGGGATCATTCGTTTTATCTCACAGTAAAAAAATAATGAATAATTTTATTCGCGTGATAGATGGATTTTATAAGTCTGAAATATACTATACAGATACTGATAGTTTATACATTTCATCTAGCAATTGGGATAAATTAAATGAAGCTGGGTTGGTGTCCGAAAATGATTATTGTAAAGGAAATAATGATTACGGTGATGGTGGAATTATATTTGGTTTATATTTAGCGCCAAAAATTAAATACAATATCATTCTAACTTCCGACGGTATTCTAAAAGAAATTAAAACGTTTAAGGGTTACTCTAAAGATAAGATAACCGTAGACGATTATTTTCGATTAGCTAATGGTCACGATGTAACGAATGAATTTAAGAAACCATGGGTAAAAAGTTTCACCAATGGAGTAGTATTCCAAAGGATGATGATAAACAAAAAAAAGTTTTTAGAAGTTATCTAAATCTCGTTAAGAGAAAAGCACCAAACAGTGAAGGAATCATGTATCGTTACAACGACGGAAAAGAATTGAACATGGATGAAAACTACCAATTTGATGATTACGATTATCTAATTATTCAAGAAGAGAATGAAGAGTGTTAATTTTTTTGTTTTAAATGAAGTTGAATAACAATTTCCTCGTTACCAAAATCTATAAACCTATTTTTACCATCTTTGATTTCTAGATTAATATCTTTAATCATAAAGAATTAAGTGGTAAATACTTCGTTTGAAATGGTTTCTCTATAATTCTATATCCTATCGGTACAGTGAATGTTGGAAGACTAAATAATCTGACGTTTGTATTTATTGAAAAATCCACCGTTTATCAAATTGCAATGTATATTTTTGACATCGATATCATGCTCGATATTAGCTTTATGCGGTGCTAAAGTTGATTGGGTGTATACTCGTTTATCAAATCCTAGTAACGCATTCAATGAATTTTCTACGTTGAAATCAACTTGACTATTATTTTTTAATATCAATTTTATTTTGTTCAGATTCAAATTACCTTCGAATTCAATATTGTTTTTACCATTGACACTTCCTCCATATTCAGATAGGTATTCGTTAATGGCTATGTATTCGTAGCTTCCTGGTAGTAAACGTATGGTTTTGAACGTAACTCCATTATCTGTTGATATTTTTATTTGGTTATTTTTTTCGTTGATATTTCTAATGGAATTGTAAACAGAGAAATACTTTAATCCCAATTCATATTCTTGATTGCGATCGAGTTCGTACTCATAATCTAGAGACAATTTAATGTCTGATTTATTTGAGGTGATGACGAATACTTGTTCTTTATTTGACATTTTTAATCACGCTTTTATAATCATTTTTATCTATGATACCTTTTTCTAGGAGTCTTTTTAATATACAATTTACTTCATTATATTGTCTGTGTGATCGATATCCTTCCTTCATTGCCGCTAATATTATTCGTAATCTATTAAGTAGTTCCTCGTTGTTGTCGGATAAAAACGTTATACCTTGTCCAGATGCCACCATATCATCGAAATCGTCTATTTCTTGTATGATTGGTGTATAATCTTCTGCATAATCATCTGATACCTCTTCATCAGGAATAACTTTATTTAAGTATGTTTCAACTGCTTTCGATCTTCTTGTTTCGGGTCCCGATTTTCTTATTGCATGTAGAAATTTTGAGTATGCTAGTAAATCCTTGTAATCGGCAATGCCAATATACCTGCCATTCATTAAATCTATTAATCCTTTCGTTAATGTAAATATTAAGTCTTTTGTATCGATTTTGAATATAGGGGAATTTGCCCTAAATTTAATTCTAAATCCATTAAACAATAACCCCTCATCATCAATGATTGGTGTAATACTCTTTGGTAAATCTGCTTTAGGGTTTGAAAAAAGACTATTAATATCATCTAATGTCCTAATTATAATACCACCATATGGATTTGGTTCTGGGTGATGAGGTATGGGTTCTATAGGAGGGATGAGTCTCTTTTTAATATCCTCTTGAGATTTTAATATGGGTTGGAATAGAGTTTGTAGATTTTCCGTTAATCCGAGTTGTTGTAATCTGTTATTTTCAACTTGGGTCTTTATTTTATTCTTAGCCTTGATATATTCTTTATTTCTTTTTAAAATATTATTCCAATCGTTACTCATTTTTAAAAAAATAAAATTAACATATGTCAATCATAACTGTTTCACCTGCGGGTTTTCTAGTATTTACAAATACATATCCATGTTCATCTGGGTTTCTCCATTGAGCTTTACAAACTTTTTTGCATGTATCTCTGTCTATTCCCTGATTTATCGACTGAATGATTTGAGATAAATCTTTATCGTTTAATTCAAATAATAAAAAACAATTTGCATTTTTTCTAATAAACATAGAATCCATCCCGTAAAAAGATTGGGATCGGTATATGCAGTGACAGTTGTGATGTCTTCCCTTCGTGAAGAATTCTTGTTGAACAGCTTGATTTCTTTGCGCAACGCAGTCGTCAAACAATATTAAGTTCTTTCGTTTGCTATCAATATTAGACAAGTCTAGATCATTAACATTTTTCGTAAGAATCGTTGGATTCTTTCCTTCGATGTAGTTATCTATGATATCTTTTATTTCCACTTCTTCTTCGTTTTCTTCGTAATATTGAAATAGGTCTTGAACATCTTTCTTTGGTAGATATTCTAAAGCTTTGAGAAATTGATAATGCGATTGCTCTGGTGTTGTTGTGTAGATATAGAGAGAATCGAAATCTAAAAGGTTTGGTGTTGTCAACATGTTAAAAGTGAGATGAGTTTTCCCAGAACCGGAACTACCGCATATACACATGAGCATTGGGTTATTAGGAAATAATTCTGAATGATTAAATTTTTTGCCCATTTTTTATTATTGCCCATATTTATACTTTGAAAGATATATTCCTTCTCCAGTGTGTATATTTTATAAAAATATTCCACTACCCTTATGTTTGACTGTGATTTCTTCTGTGTCAATACTATCTACTAATTTATTTAATACTTGTTTAACAGTTTTCTTGGTTTCTTCCCCAAATCTTTTTCCAAATTCTTTTATTGTGCCTATCACATCACCCCTGAACCTCGTGCTTCCTTTTCAATTGCTAAATTATGTCTGCGTTCTTCAGCGGCTTTAGCATCAGCTGCTTTCTTTGCATTGGCAGCTTTGACTGCGGCAGATATTCCTCCAGTAGCTGCACCCGCCGCTGCAATACCACCAAATATTAAAGGTAGAAGGAAAGGTAAAAATCCACCTTCTTTTGCGTTCGCGTCAATTCTTTCTAAATCTATATCGTCTCTGACTTTACAATATTTGTATTTATCAATAAGTTTTTTAGTTATGCTGATTTTTTTACCGTTGAAAGTTATTACAGTTGGGGAATCTGTTTCAATAGCTTCTATTATTTTCATAACTAAAGTTTCTGGTTTCATTTTTAAGGTTGTATTTTTTACTCAATTCTTATCATTCTTCTATCTGCTATTTTAATTAAATGTTTTGCTTCTTCCAATAATAAACAATAACCTGTTAAATCTCCTTGTGTTTTTTCAATATGAATATTTATGTTGACTCCTGTTTTGAAAAGATCTTCTTGGTGAGCTGATAGATCAAAACAGAAGATTGGATGATTAAGTGCAAAATCTACATATTCAAAATGAGGTGGATTTCCAAATAATTCACACATATTTTTATAGTTTCTATACAATTCATTATAATCTTTTGTGGTTGGATTAATTGTTAAAGGTTGGTTAGGATAATTATCGTTGTTTAATCTTACTTGAACTTTATGGATTAAAGGATCTTGAGTTTGGTTTATTGCCACTCTGAAGACATTATTGTTATTCGTTTGAGAATCTGCTAAGTTCTTGAAACCAACCATTAAATATCTTGCTGGTTTAATAGTGTTAGTGATTGGCCAGGTGGATTCACCAGTTAAAGTCATGCTACCTACCGTATTACGATGAAGAAAAGCTATTTCAATATCTTTAGTTAATGAGTTGAATATTCTCGTTTCTACTTCAATTGATGGTGTTATTACGGGTATGAAAAGTTGGAGATTCGTTATTTCTAATTTTGCATCTGAACCATTCTCTCCAAAGAATATCTTATCATCGTTGATTTCTCTTCGTAGATGAATTTTATATGGTAACCCTATGGAAACCTTTCTGTGTTCCAACAGACCGAATAAAGGATATAATTTCCAATTTACGTAATTACCCCACCTATTATTCTCAACAATATTATTGTACTGAAGTACTCGTTTTTCGAATCCATGATTAGCTGCTCGTACTACTCTTTCTATTGTGTTTCGAGCAACAACTCTCACTCTAGCTAAATCGGCATCATTTGCAAGATTTCTAACCGGTTCTTTTAAAACACTTCCATCGCCAACATCGGGTATCCAACCTGAGACTGAATCGAAATCTTTAGGATATAAAACTGTTTTCAACATTGTGTCGAATTCCCCAGGGTGTTTGATTGTTTCTATCGGATTTGAACCAGCTTCCAAAACCATCTCGCTAAATAAAGATGGAAAGAAATTGTTTTCTTAAGTTGTATTAGTTTGAGGAACTTGATTCTGAGTTCCATCTTTAATTTTGAAATCGCATCTGAAATAAGCATCGGAGAGAAGCAACCAATTCGATAATGAATATATTTCGAAGGTAATTCTACCACCATCATTCAATTGGGATTTAGAACCAACAGTCGGTGAGATGATAATATAATCCTCTTTTTTCTTGTTAAATGAATAACGAATCGGATCGTATAGTCTAAAGATTGGATCTAGTATTTTATTTGCCATTTTTAAGGTTTAAAATTTGAGTAGAAAATTGTTTTTTCCATTAAAGAGTTATCTCCCTTTTTTCTAGAAGTTTCTAGACTAAAAATAACGAGGCTATTAAAAAATGTTATGTTATTTTTATATAAGGGTATTTTTAATATGCTTTTTTTTTGATGGAATGTAGGAAATTGATTGAAGTTGTTTTTGGTGAATGAAATGTAGGGAGTTTAGGGTGTAAGTATTTATAGGGAGTTTAGGTCTTTTTTTAGTGAAAGAATTTATGAAATGAGGGGTAATTTTTAGTGTAAGAATTTATGAAATGTAGGATGTTTAGGTGTAAGAATTTATGAAATGAAGGGAGTTTAGGTCTTTTTTGGGAGCTTATATATTGGTCGCATTTTCCCCATGAAATGAAATGGAAGCTCTTACACTACTGAACTCAGGCGAAACTTGACAAAGTCTGACTTTACCCGAAGTCTGACTTAGCGTTAAGTTCGAACGCAGCATACGGCCCTAAGTCTATTTTTACCAAACTTTTTTTATTAGCGCTTTTAATTTTTAATTTAAAATATCTATTGTCAAAAGACGGGCCTCTTGAACATTCGTCCGTTTGATGACACCGCCGGCCAATCAACTTTCTTGCCTCTCTAACGCTGGGATTTTGTGACGC